TCTCCACAGCCTCTCCAACACTTGCTGTTATTTGTCTTATTGATAATAGCCATTCTAACAGGTGTGAGGTTGTATCACTTGGTGGTTTTGATTTGCATTTCCCTAATAGCTAGTGAAGTTCAGCATTTTTTTCATATACCTGTTAGCCGTTTGTATGTCTTCTCGGGAGAAGTGTCTGTTCAGGTTGTCTACCCAGTTTTCAATTGGATTGTTTGGTTTTTTGTTGTTTAGTTGTACGAATTATTTATATATTTTGGATGTTAGCCCCTTATTGGAGGCATTGTTTGCATTCATCCACCGATGGACACTTAGGTTGTTTCCACCTTTTGCCTATCGGGAATAATACTGCTGTGAACATTGGTGTGCAAATATCTTTTCAAGACTCTAGTTTCAATTCTTTTGGGGATATACCAGCAATGGAATTGCTGGATCTAATGGCAATTCTACTTTAAGTTTTTTAGGAACCTCCATACTATTTTCCGTAGCAGGTGCACCATTTTACATTCCCACCAGCAGTGCACAAGGGTTTTAGTTTCTCTACATCTTCATCAACACTTGTTATTTTTCTGGGGGGTTTTTTGTTGTTTATTTTATAGTAGCCATCCTAATTGATGTGAGATGGTATCTCACTGTGGTGCATTATTGTTTTTTGTTATGTATCTTAAAGTACTTTTTATAATTTCTGTGATATTTGTGTGCAGACTCCATCCTGTATTTGTTGCCTAATATACCTTAATTATCCATACTCTCACACACATGTGATCTGAAAAGACAGTTTGCTTTTTAGGTATGAGGTTTTGTGGATATGTATAACATAGACTCGTGTCAACTTTGTTTCTCTCATGAGCTTTAGTCCATTGCTTAGGACAGCTGAGTTTCTCTCAGGTGAGTCGCAAGGCCTCAATCTAAAAGGCTCTACAATTCATTTCATAGAGAGCACGGGTTCAGTCAGGCTCATTTCATTTGTCACATGAAGGGGGAAATGACAACTGTTTTCTCAAACTGAGCTCTCAATTGTTCACGTGGCAAAATAAAATTTCAAATTACTGTTTTTTTCCATTTTGATTTGCAGAAATGGTAGATCATGTCACTTACAGAGAATGTGCCTATTTTAATGAGACTTAACAAATATTGGTCACTTTTGTGGCATATTTCTTTGCACTGATGATAGAAAGAAGTGAAATGATCCCATTTTTACTGCTTTCAACTGCCATCTGAATAGATTCAGACAAAGAATGGAACAAAGTGGTTTTTAGTATAATGCCCAATGTCAAAAATGAAATTAAATGACTTCAATGTATAGTTTATTTTTGCTGCAGTCTTTTTTATTTTTAATTATTTTTTATTTTTCAATTATACTTGACATACAATATTATATTAGTTTCAGGTATACAACATAGTGATTAGACATGTGTACAACTTACAAAGCGATCACCCCAATAAGTCTAGTACCCATCTGATACTATACAGTTATTGCAATATTATTAACTATATTCCCTATGCTGTATTTACATCCCTGTGACTTTTTATAGCTGACAATTTGCACATCTTAATCCTTTCCCCTTTTCACCTATCTCCCCCCAACTCCTGCCATCTGGCAATCATCAAAATGTTTTCTGTATCTATAAGTTTGTTTGTTTTTAGATTCCACATATTAAGTGAAATTATATGGTATTTGTTTTTCTCTGTCTGACTTATTTCACTTAGTATAATACCCTCTAGGTCCATCCATGTTGTTACAGGTGGCAAGATTTCATTCTTTTTTATGGCTGAGTAATATTCCATTGTATAATGTACCACCCCTTCTTTATCCATTTGTCTATTGATGGACCCTTAGATTGTTTCTATATTTTTTGGCTATGTAAAGAATGCTGCTGTGAACATATACATGTGTATGTTTTTTCGAATTAGTGTTTTGGATTTCTTCAGATAAATACCAAGAAGTACAATTGCTGGATTCTTCTTTGTCTTTTGTTATAGCCTTTGTTTTAAAGTCTGTTTTGCCTGAATTAAGTATTGCTACCCCAGCTTTTTTTTTTTTTTTCAAATTCCATTTGCATGAAATATCTTTTTCCATCCCTTTACTTTCAGTCGCTGTATGTCTTTCCATCTGAAGTGGGTCTACTGTAAGCAGTATGTATGTATGTATGTATGTATATATATATATATATGTATAGTTATATATATAGTTTTCTTATCCATTCAGCCACCCTATGTCTTTTGATTGGAACATTTAAACCATTTACATTTAAAGTAATTTTTGCTACTTATATAGTTATTGTCATTTAATTATTCCTATTTTTGATCTTTTCTTCTTCTTAAAGAAGTCTCTTTAACATTTCATGTAATACTGATTTGGTGGTAATGAACTACTTTAGTTTTTGTTTTTTTTCTTGTCTTGGTGGTTCTTTAACTATCCTTCGATTCTAGTTGATAACCTTGCTGGGTAGAGTAATCTTGGTTGTATAGGTCCTTGCTTTTCATCATTTTGAATATTTTCTGCCAATCCATTCTGTCCTGTAAAGTTTCTGTTAAGAAATCAGCTGACAGTCTTATGGCAACTTACCTATCTTCCTTGTATGTAGCTAACTGCTTTTCTCTTGCTGCTTTTAAGATTCTCTCTTTGTCTTCAACCTTTGGCATTTTAACTATGATGTATGTTATTGTGGGCTTCCTTGGGTGCATCCTGTTTGGTACTTTCCACACTTCTTGGACTTGTATGTCTATTTCCTTCACCAGGTTAGGGAAGTTTTCCATCCCTATTTCTTCAAATAGGTTTTTAATTCCTTGTTCCCTCTTCTCCATTTGGTACCCCCATCATGCAAATGTTAGTACACTTGATGTTGTCCCAGAGGCCTTTAAACTATCCTCATTTTTTTGTTTAATTTTTTTTTGTTTGCAGTTCTGATTGGGTTTTTTCCCATGGCCTTGACTTCCAAATTGTTGATTTGATCCTCTGTGTCATCTAATCTACTTTGATTCTCTCTAATACATTCTTCATTTCACTTATTGTATTCTTCATTTCTGACTGGCTCTTTTTTTATGTTTTCTATCTGTATTTTTGTGTTTTCTCTTTGTTAATGTTCTCACTGATTTCACCTACTCTTCCTCTGAGATCATTGAGCATCCTTACAGATGTTTTGAACTCTGCATCTGTTAGATTGCCTGTCTCCATTTTGTTTAGTTCTTTTTCTGGAGCTTTGTTCTGTTTTTTTCATTTTGGACATGCTTCTTTGTCTCCTCATTTTGGCTGCCTTCCTGTGTTTGTTTCTATGTATTAGGTAGATCTGCTATGTCTCCTGGTCTTGGTAGAGTGGCCTTATATAGTAGATGTCCTGTGGGGTCCAGTGGCAGAGTCTCCCTGGTCACCTGAGTCAGGTGATCCAGGTGTGTCCCTTGTGTGAGTTCTGTGTGTCTTCCCATTGTAGTTGAGCTTTGATTGCTGTTGGGAGAGATTGACCCTCAGACTGATTGGCTGTGAGGAATGGCTATGTCTACAGTTGAGGAACTGTGTGCAGGTTCCAACTCCATGGAGCAGGGTTCACTTCAGTGAGGTCCTGGTGCCTGTGTAGTCTGCCCTTTGGGTGTGTCATCTGTGGAGGTGTTTGGGTGGTGCTCTGAAGATGGCAACAGGGTGTATTGGTTCTGGGGTCTCTTTGGAGGGGCTCTGGTGTAGGCCAATTTCAGCCACTGCCTCTACCCAGCCCAAAATGATTTTCAGATAGTTGCTTTTTGTTCTGGGCTTAGAGGTGCCTGGAAGAGTCTAAGCTCCAAACCAAGGCTGACTGCCACTAGAGCCAGACTTGGGTTCACTTAGCAAGAGGTATGGTGCATGCTGAGGTCAGATGCTGCTTGTTTGGGGTTTGCGAATTTTTCAGAGATTTTTATGAAAGTATGTAGTTCAAACAGAGACAGGTTCTTTGTATGGAAAAGACATCAGAAGCAGCTTGTGTGGGCCCTCGAGTTGAGTGGTATGGCTTCTCAGGAAACCACCAGAGCAGGACAAAGGGTGTTAGCCAGGTTTGTGGAGACTCAGATATGGCGCCTGCTGGGTTGGGGGAGGGCTCAACAAAGTAACAGTGGTTTCTGCCAGCACTTCTGTCTGGGAGAAAGCGGCCCCCCCCAGCCCTCGCCCTGATGCCAGACAATTCAGTTCCTCCCTGTGTGTTCCTGCTGCTTTTTGAGCTGCTGCCCCAGCAATGGAGCTCAGAGTGAGTCAGTCCATGCATGGGCCCTTTAATAGGAATGTCTGGAACTTCAGCAGTCCTTTGTCTCATTTAGCCACAATCTGTGCTGGCTTTCACAGGCAAAAGTTGTGGGGGGCTTCTTTTCTTGGCACCGGAGCACTGGGCTGGGGAATCTTGTGTGGAGCTGGGAACCCTCGCTCCTCAGGGGGGACCTCCGCAGCCAAGATACTCTCCCGATTTTGAATCGCCACATGCAGATTTGGGACCAGACTGTTCTGCATCTCTGCCCCTCTTACCGGCCTCCATGTGGCTTCTTCGATACATCTTTAGTTGTAGAACTTACATTCAGCTCGACTTCACGCAGTTCTCAACGATGGCTGTTCTGTAGTTATAATTTTGATGTGGTCGTAGGAGGAAGCAAGCACAACGATTACTTGTTCCATCATCTTGACCAGAAGCAGAGGTAGCTGGGATTTACTTTCAGAGCCTGTGAACTCCAGACCACACAAGCTGACCCGAACCTAGACATAATATATACTTGATGCTAAATGACATCCAACCAACCAGTCAGATTGAAGGGAGGAGGTTTATTAAAGAAGCAGACAAACCCCTGATATTATTATTATTACTTTCGTATTACTTTATTCTAGTTAACTCTGGTAAGATGTGTTTATTAGCATTTTGATGAAAAGTACCACTGAAAACACATGTCACAGTATAAAAAGCAGAAAATTTTGATTGTGTAACTTTGCATTTATTTGAACAGGAGAGTAGGCACTTTTTTTGAAGCAGCCATACTTTATTGTCTTACAGATAAATCTAAAGCAGGAGGCAAAGTTGCTGTGGTGGCCAAGAACGGGGTAAGATTATGTTTTATGATGTAAAATATAGAGACTTCAAATTTCATTTGATTAATACTATTTTCAAAAGAAAGTTAATGAATATTTAAAAGCAAAATAACATATAATCAATTTTTCTCATAAATGTTGAGTATGTGTTTCCTTTTTTAGGCTGACACTAGAAATTTAATATTTATGATTACTCATATCAGTATTGCAGAATTATGGAAAATTAAAACCTTAAAGTTAAGTTGAGAACAGCATCAGCCTTTTGAGTGAATCTGAACCTAGAATGCTTTTAATGAGAATTTATAAAGCCAATAGCATTTAAAAATAATTTTTAAAATTTAACACATCACTCTGTATATTATATACAGAGAGATGTTTAACTCTACTTACTGTCAAAATTGTGACTGGGGTAGGATTAACCTTGAGATTCTCTTCAAGTGACAGTATTCTTAACAGGATACCAGTGAAAAAGAGAGTCAATGCTTAAATTCTTCTGGATAAATAATATATTAGTGTCATAAGAAAAAGAATTGTGATTGAAAGGAAAGCCTATACCTGTGGTATTTCCTGTGTTGAGTGGTGGGGTTGGTGCAGGGTGGACCCAGGGAAGGTTGAATGTAAACGAGGGGAACAGACAAGGGTGTTGGGATGAACCTATAGATGAATAGGTCATGAGGTCAGCATTGTTTTTGTATTCTGAATATATGTATTTTATGAGTCCTTTTAACATCCGATTTTGTTTTATCCTTTTGCTTTTTGGCTTGTAAAAATAATCTGGGATTTTCAATGGCTAAATAATGTCGGTGTACCTTTACAGAGAAGAATTCAGTATCACAGAAGACAATGTTGCTCCTTAGAAAAGAAAGGAACTAGGACTTGTCTGTGTGCCTGAAGACATGGCAGGAATGTGTGGTGCAGTGCAAGGTTGTTAATGTGGATGGAATTGTTTATTTCAGTCCCTGCTGTAGGATATTTAGAATAAAAAATTATATAGACAGTAATAACTAACATAACTATATTGCTTTATTTTTACCAGTGATTCTCAATGAAGGCGGGACTGTCCCTAGGACAGTGCCATTCAGATTGTGGTCCATGGCCCAGAGCTAGTCTGTGAACTATTCATTTTTGGTCTGCAATGAGATAGGAACAAAACAATGAGAGTAACCATTTAGAAACTTGTATAGTCATTTGGCAGAGTGATTTTTGTCTGTTGACTGTAATAATGAGATGGAACTTGTATTTTGTATGTCTTTGTTTATTATGTCATTTTTTCCTAGTGACTTTTTTTTTGTAACTTTATACAAGTTTACATGTTGAGCATATTGGAGGGGAAAACTGGTCCTTTATCACAGATAGTTTGCGAGACATTGCCCTTTGGGGTGTTTTAGGAATTTGTGGGAATGTTTTGGGTTATAGTAAATTGAAGGAACATAAGGAAATTTTTGAGAGAATATAAGGAATTTTGGGGGCGGGGAGGGACAAAGGTTAAGGACATTAGATATCTTGCAATGCATAGAACAAACTGTGTAAGAACTGCCTCAGAGTTATCATGACTTTTGAATACATTGCTGGACTCAACAAACTACAAGTATGATTGTATAGTGACATAACAGAAAATAATATGGACACATGTTAGACAGAAAGCCAAGGAATGTAGAAGGCTTATTATATAAAGGGAAGCTGGAATGGAATAAACATGGTGTTCTCAAAATTTTTGAATAATTTACTTATTCTCTACTCAACATATTATAGCATTCATGTATATATGAATATACATATATATATATATATATATATATATATATATATATATATATATATATATGGCTATAAATGGTAGAGGTGCAGTTACTGAGAGCTCTGCCTACAAGCCTCTGCCACTCCCACAGCCCCTCTCCTTCAGGTGTGAGTCGTACAGGTGTACCCATCTGACCACCTCTACTCAGTGACAGTGGTGTAAATGAAAGCGACTATGAGTAAGTCACACTAATCTCTGAGTCGCACGTGATTATTTTTTATTTTTAAAAAGAAGAGGAAGATCTAGATTGCTTTAAGTCCCTTCCTACTCTAATATTTCATGAACTATAAAATATTTATAACAGCTCAGTAAGTACCGTATTTTGCTGTGTACAGTGCACCTCCATGTATAATGCACACCCACATTTTTGGCCCAAACTTTCAGGGAAAAAAATCTTTCCTTTTAATTCAAATTTTTATTTGTTTACATTTAGGTACTTGTTTTTTGTAGTTAAAGGAATTTTAGCATTTATTTTTTTAACAGATTATGGTACAAGAAATTTTATGTATCGGTAACAAATTTACAATATTTACACTTCATAGAAGGCCAAAAGCTCTTTGTCATTGCAAGTTCGTCATAAGTTCAACAAAACTGATTATCGTATTCCAGGGTATTATTTTGCATACAGATATTGTTATTGATTTATAGAGTTACACTTTTAACTCATAAGCATAAATAAAAAAATTAAAAAACACTCATGGAGATAAGAAATTGTTACTACCCATGTATAATGTGCATCCTTATTTTTCCCTCACAAATTTGGCCAAAAAAGTGCACATTATACATGGCAAAGTACGGCACTTTCAGAATGTCAAAAAGACTTGTGCAGACCAAACATGTGAGTCAATTAGCCTAGAAAAAAAAAAAAAGAGAAGAAAAACAGTAGTGTGCCAGGAAGACAGGTGGAGTAACTGATGGTGTTCCCTGTTATAGATTCTGAAAGATGTTTGAAAATACATACATAAATATATATATGAAACAGCAAACTGGTGGAAAGAATACAAACTTATGAATGAGTCAAATCTGCCTTCAAGAGTTAACTCTGCTCCGTAGTTGTTTTGTGACTTTAGGCAAGTTAACAGTCTGCACCTCATTGAATTAATCTCTGCATTGGGAACAATAATAATTACATTGTATGATTGTTATAAAGGTTAATATGAAAAGCAATTATAATAGCATATAGTTCCTATATTTTAGTAGGTTCTTGTGTAATAAATGCCAGTACTTTTCTCCCTAATTTCTTCTTAGAAAGAGACAGGAAGTAAGGATTTAGGAGCGCTTAAAATTCTGACTTGTGATAGCATCATAGTTGTATTAGATAGTTAAGTTTTTTTTTTAAGTAAGTCCCACATTTTAATCATAATTTATTTTTTTCAAAGTGATACAATAGCATTGTATTTGGAGGATATAATTTTAAAAATCATTCAAAATCCATCACATTAATTAACCAATTTTTATTAATTTGATGCATCTTTTACTGTTATTTCTTTGTGCATTTGTTTAAATATATGTTTACATATGACATGTATAAGTATATATACTCTATTAACATAAATGGAATAAGTTTAAACTCTACTTTTTCACTTAATATTTTGTTGACATCTTCTCAAATCAAAGATCTGCCAAATCTTTAGTGGTTGCATAGCATTTCATTTTATGAAAATGTCTTAATCTATTGCATCAACTTCTGAACATTGAGGTTGATTCAATTTGCAAAATTACAAATAAAAGAGCAACAACATCATTGTACACAAATCTCTGTAAATGCGTAAATATTTCTGTAGAAAAAATTACTAGAAGGAGGCTTGCCAGTTCAAAGAATAAGCACATTGTAAATTTTGCCAATTTGCTGGACATCCCCCACCAAAAATATCTCCCAACATTATTGTACCAATTACAGTGCCATCATCAGTTGAAGGCATGTCTAGACTGCCTTACCTTGAAAATTCTAGCCACTTAACAGTCTTTTTTCTTTCAAAGTTAATACTTTGTCAGTATGTTGCAAACATAGTTCTTTTGCTGTACTTAATATAGTACAACTCTTCTTTTGGGGCTGCAGAGTTTTTTGTGACATGCTTTAAAAGACTGCTCTTTCACTAAATCAAAAATATATTATGATGCACTTAATCTCCTATTGCTACCAGTAACACTTTGATGAAAAAACTAAAGCAAAATAAATAAAAAGACAAGTTGGGTGAGGATTCTCTCCATTCATTTTGTTTTAGTTTTTTCAAAGTAGAATTTTACATATTTCTAATTAAGGCTATCTTAAGTATTTGTTATTAATGAGAAAAGGACCTCTTTTTCATTCTTTCTTTTTTTTGGCTTATATATAGAAATTATATGCATATGTATGGGTATGATTATTTCTAACACTTTACTTTTATTAATGCCAAGAGTTTAGCTTACATATTTTGAAAGACAAAATTAATGACCACTCTTTTGATTTATACATTTATGTATAAGGAATTTAGGCAACTATATTTTCAGATAAAAAAAATACTTTCCCCCAAATTATTGCAAAATTTCATATTTAGCAGGACATTTTTTACCATTAGCCCAACAGCAGGATAAGTTGCTTACATTTTATGACTAGATATCTGGATATTTGTGTTAATTTTAAGCTTGCTTACTAATGTGGAATTCACATAGTGTAACTCACTTGATTTGCTTTGCTTCATATGCATCTTTCCCCAAAGATAAATATAATATATCCCTACTACTGGCTTCTAGCCCCAGGCAGAGAGAAAGCTCAGAAAAGAATAATAAACCTAGGAACCCCTTGGGAAAGGCCTAAGTTAGGCATCAAAACTCATTTAATTTTCTTTTGGATTCTACTTTGTGGACATTATTGTATTCACCTTTCCTTAGGTCAGTGATCCCCAAACCCAAATCATTCAGGTATTCCATCACCATTTTGCCATTTTCTATACTGTTAGTTATTATAGTTGTCTTTCATTCGACTTACCTTTTTCTCAATTCCATTACTTTATTGAGGTCAAAAGTACACACATGAGGGGTTTGATGATTTTTTCTTAAATGTGTACATCCATGTAACAACCATCCCCTATCAATATAAAGGGCATTTTCATCACCCCCAAAATTTCCTAATCTAAATTTTAATGTGTATTCTTTTGATGTATGTACATGTACATTTTTCAAATACATATAAATTAACACATATTAATATAAAAATTGTGTGTTTAATACTTTAAATCAATCAGTGGAAACCTTAAACTAGAAAATTCTTTTCATGCAAATTTCAATTACCCTCAAAATCAGCAGAGGGTAACTGTACCACGACAAGGCAGGGTTCTGAAACAGCCTTCCAGGGGAATAATTTTGACAAGATACTCTTTAGTAAATTAATAACTAAACATGCTTGATTAGGCTGCAAGATTTACCTTTTTATCTTGAATTATAATCTACAGGATAACTATTAATAGTAAAATATTAGAATTAGACAAAATGGATTAATCTCTGATAGCCAACAACATTTATATACCATTGGTGAGAGCAAGCAAAGATCCCTTAATTCAGAGTCCTCATTTTCTGGTGTGGATGACTGTAGTTGCTGTTTAAATAAAAGTCTCTTTTGGTACTTGTATATTTGCTTAACACTTTCTTTGATTTGACTTTAGTCCATGGGTTTAACTTTAGCCAGACTGGCCTTCTTGTTCTCAGATAGGCATCAGGAGGAGCTAGGGAGTAGAGGGGAACTACGCATCAGGGCGAGCACAGCAGAGCTGAAACCTCATTGTTTGTCTTCCCTGGAGATAAAACAACAGTGCTCTAGTGTGAGAGCCATGCTCTTCTCCAAGTTCACAAGGCTTGTAGTGGGAGAGGTATTGGCTAGCAGCTGGCTGTAAAGGGCAGCTTTTCCACATACAGGGCTGCTGGGCTGCCTGTTGTTGAGGGACTGCAGCTCTGCAGGGTGCTGTAGAAAGTAGAAGTGCAGAGGGGTATTGGTGCCTCCTTCCTAAACCAGAGATTTGTCCCAGTTCAGTGACTTACCTGAGAAAATTCAATGTTTAGTTATGCAGATCTGGTGCTTGGTAAACAGAATTCATTTTTATCAGCAATTTATTCTTTTTGTCTTTCAAGAGTTATTTTTATCCTAATTACTCAAAAAAGCAAAAAAAAAGTATCATTTTTGTGTCACCATTTACAATAATAGAAATATTGTATTAATTTGTTTCTCTATGCTTAATACCCATTTAAAAATTCACTCAAGATATTCACTTGGAATCTGAGTTTAGTAATACCTAAAATCTGGTGTCACAGAGCCCAGAAATTCAAAACTTTTCAACCATAACTTTTCACATTTTCTATTCTATATTTTAACTTTGAGACAGAAGGCAATAAAGAGAATTCTACAAAATGTGATTGCTCTTCTGTTAAGAAACAGAAACATCTTCAACTTGAGTCCCAGTTATCACATAAACTAATTTCTAGGTGTTGTTCTTTGTTATTTGGGACTAAAGGTTGTGTTTTGCAGCTTTCTTCAACTTACTTTGCTGATTATATTCATTACAAGTATAATCCTTTCTCTCTGACCCAGAGACATATAAGTCATGTTTACAACATCAAGCTACACACAAAGTGAATCTGGGTTTCTTTTAAAGTTTAAACTATTTCTCAATCACCATCACCTTCCTCATTCCATGCCATTAAAGCCCAAAACAATATTACTAATCAATAGAAAGTGGTTATTGATATAACATAGGGTAGGAATTTGAAGAGTGAGTTTGTATTTCATAGATTGTAGTTATTTCACAAGATATTAAGTGATCTTTCTGTGCCTAATAGTAATAACTACCATTTTCCTACTAGCAAACAGAAAGTCTAAAATATCATGTCAGTGAAAATTAGTAGAATTTTCTTATAACTTAGAATTCAGCTGTAATTTCAGATTTATAAATGTTTGCCTTCTGCCCACAACTCTTCCAACTTTCCATTTGTATTACACAAGACAAACCTATTTCCTTTCTTTGAAGATCTATAAATTATTACTTTTAATTCTTTAAAATTATAATGACTTTGAGGTTCTATTTATCTTTCTTTTTGCTTATATATTTAATACCTTCACTTTGTTGCAGAAATAATTTGCTGTACCATGAAATATGTATATTAGGTACACATCTGAAATCTATACTCCCCTACATACTGCGGACACAGTCACCCAGATCATGCAAAGTGAGGTGTATCTTCCATGTCCTTCCATGAATCTAGGTGCACAAATAGCCTTCATCTGAACTTCTGGAATCATCAGAGAGTTGATGTAAAGACTTGAATCCAGATAACATTTTTAAAGAATATATATATATATATATATTTTGGATTGTGCTATTGTGTAGAGTCTGTCTGTTTCTATGTAGGAGAGAGATCATCTCCTTTTGCACAGTGCTGATGATAAGTGCTCAGAACTTTTGACAATGATTCATGGGGTGAAGAATCAGGCCAGTTATCCTTCCTACTCCAGTTGATGGAGAGAAAAATGGTAAAACAGGTAATGAAGCTCTCAACATTATTCCTTTTGTCCAGAAAAAAAAAGTGTAATATAGGTAATATACCTATTGAATAACCATTGAATGTTCTGTGTGCATCAGATTTTTAAAGTATAATTAAAATATGTAGATTCTAGAAAAGTCTCCCTTAGAAATGTTAAATTGTCCCAGCATTTGTCTTGCTAAAATATCTGGTAACTTCAGGAAAAACTATACACACAAAGGAATTGTTTTCAATAGACTTGGATTGAGGTCAAATAATTTAATAATTTAACTTATTGGCTTCATTCAACCAGATAAACAACTGTGACATAGTTCTTTTTATGGAGATCTTTCCTTCTAGGACACCCTGTTTGTGTTAGCCCTTAGTATTCTTAAGCAATTTATAGATATCAGTGGAATCTGTGCTGTAAAACAGCAACAACAATAATAACAAACCTCCTGAATTTCTATGTTTTTTCCCTGGTATAGATAGTCAAAGACCATTTTAAAAAATTCAGTGCTAGGCTTTAAAAATTACTAGTAAAGTACATAATCACAGAGCTTCTTGAAGTGTCCTGTTATTTCTATCCTCAGCCAGGACTGGGCACGGTTAATAGAAAGTGCTGAATGAGTTCTGTGGAAGGTGCCTAGTGGCCACCTTCTGTTTTTAGGAAAAATGCTCTCCTGTGTCTCAGCTCACTGCTTGAATACACACTCCCGTGTTTTCTCTAGTATGTCCCTCAAAGCAGAGAAACCCAAAGTGCTTTCGTGTGAACTTACACACGGCTGGAGTAACAGGGCAGGGACAGCAAGATATTTATATGTCATATTGCCAGGGACTGATCTCTGATATGGTCCAAATCTCACAGGCATACTGAACTCTAGTAAAGATTGATTTGACTGGAGCATATGATAATTGACTGACATTTATGGATATTTGTATAATCTGTTAAAATCATGTTTAAAATAGGGCTAGAAAATGATATTTCAGACTCTCCCCCTTTTCAAAGAAGTGTTACAAACAATCATTATCTAGGCCTGAAAATGTAACTTTATTATTTGCAGTCTCCAGATACTCAGCTTAAGTAATGACTGTCATTGACAATGCTCTATGAAACTATTTTTTCAGCCCTATTCCAAGCATATTTTCCCAGCAGATTTTCCAAAGGGAAACGAGAATATTGGCTTTTCCTTCTGTATGGTAACTTTTGACAAGGAGTATGTGTACATTATTCCAGGCACAGATGCCCTTTTGGAAATTCTGTCAAAGTAGGCAGCTCTTTAGTGATTATTGACAGACAATTACTCTTAAAAGAAGGTTACAAAATATGTTTCTGTCTTCTCTGAGCATAAAATGCTGAATCAAAATTTTACACCCTCAGATTTAACACAGATAACAAACTTCTTGCTTAAAAATATAATGATTTTTATCTAGATGAATGGTGACTTAAGGAAATGGGCAATGTGAAGTCAGTTTATGCAGATTATATGAATTTGATGTAAACACAATTCTAATGGATTCTCTGTTCTTTGCAGTTAAAGGCAATTCTATTATTTGACCCTGTAGTCATCAATTCTAATTACATATATAGTATTTTTTTTTCAGTAAATGGTATGGGCTCTATATACATAAACCTCTTTGTTTTTTACATTCAACAAGAAAAACTTAATTCTTGCTTTGGTTTCTTTAAAATCAGTGACACAAATCATCTTATTCATGTGAATGGGTGTGGGCTAGACTAGTGCCTGGAAAACTTTAGTTTGCTTAAAAGTCACCTGAAGAGCTTATTTAATTTCTGGTCCCCACTCCCAGAGTTTCTGATTCAGTAAGCCTAGGGTGGGTATGAGAATTTATATTTCTGACAGACTCTCAGGTGTTGTTGATTCTGTCACATTGTGGCTTACTTTGAATAGCACTGGGCTAGACAACATAGGCGAATCAGTTATGTGACACAGGAAGAGATGCAGAAGGGATGGAAGAGATAAAGATTATCGTGTCCTTTATAGTGTGTTGAATTGTAACTACCAAAAGATATGTCCACCAGGAACCTCAGAGTATAACCTTATTTGGAATAAGACAAGGATGTCCACTTTCTTCACTTTTATTCAACACAGCATTGGAAGTCTTAGCCACAGCAATCAGACAAGAAAAAGAAATAAAAGACATCCAAATTGGAAATGAAGAATATACAATGGAATAAAGATAGTCTACTCAATAAATGGTTTTGGGAAAACTGGACAGTTAAATGTAAAAAAAAAAAAGACAAGAAACGACACCAGTTTTTTATACCATATACAAGAATAAACTCAAAATGTATTAAAGACTTCAATATGAAATCCGAAACCATAAAACTCCTAGAAAAAAAAATAGGCAGTACATTCTCTGACATTGTTCTTAGTAATATTTTTTGTCTACATCTCATTGGGCAAGAGAAACAAGGAAAAATAGACAACAGGGACTTTATTAAACTAAAAAGTTTTTTCAGAGCTAAAGAAACCATGAACAAAATGAAAAAAACCACCTTCTGAATGAGAGAAGATATTTGTCGATGATATATCCAATAAGGCATTAATATCCAAAATATATAAAGAACTGATACAACTCACCACCAAAATAACCAAACAATCCAATTTAAAAATGGGCAGAGGACCTGAATAGACATTCTCCAAAGAGGACATACAGATGGCCAACAGATGTATGTAAAGATGCTCAATGTCACTAAACATCAGAGAAATGCAAATTCAAACCACAATGAGATATCACCTCACACCTGTCAGAATGGCTATCATTAATAAATCAACAAACAAGTGCTGTCATGGATGTGGAGAAAGGGGAACCCTCATGCACTGTTGGTAGGATGGTAAATTGATGCAGCCACTATGGAAAACAGTTTGGAGGTTCCTCAAAAAATTAAAAATAGAATTGCCTTATGACCCAGCAATTCCACTTCTGGGTGTTTATCCAAAGAAATAAAAAACACTGATTCAAAAACATGTGCACCCCTATTTTCACTGCAACATTATTTACAATAGCCAAGATATAGAAGCAACCTAAGTGTCCATCAATAGACAATTAAATTTAAGAAATGTGGCATATAGATACAATGGAATATTACTTGGCCATAAAAATCAATGAAATCTTAGCACTTGTGACAACATGAATGGACCTAGAGGGTATTATGTTAAGTTAAATAAGTCAGACAGAGAAAGACAAATACTATATGATTTCACTTATATGTGGAATCTACAAATAAACTAATAAAACAGAAACAGACTCATATATACAGAGAGCAAACTGATGGGTACCAGAGGGGAGGGGTCTTGGGGTGCTGGGTGAAAAGGTGAAAGGATTAAGAAATACAAATTGGTAGTTAGAAAGTGTTGCGTTGTTGGAAAAATCATGACGCATGTTTGCGACAGATGGCACTAGTTCATTTTTGGAAGTATTAGAGTCATTTGCAACTATGCTATTGCTATGTCATTTGACAGCTGACAGTTCTAGCTTCATTCTAAAAAAAAATTGAGTGATTTGGTTGAGTTTTGGAGATTTTACAAGTTGAAGATGGAAGACCAAATTCTGCATTTTTGCCATATTTTACTGTTTTACTTCCATAAAGGGAAGAATGCACGTCAAGCTTGTGAAAAGTTGCATAAAGTTTACGGTGATAATACTCTACAAGAACGTCGTGCCAATGATGGGTCACAAAATTTCTTGCTGGTGATTTTGATCTCAATGACGCTTCTCAGTCAGAGAGGCCCACCGAGGTCGATGACGACAAAATAAAGGCATTGATTGAGTCAAACCCATGTTATATGACATGAGCGATTGCAGAATCATTGACCATCCATCATTCAAGCATTCACAACCACCTGAAAAAGCTGGGATACGTAAGTAAGCTCGATATTTGGGTTCCACATGAACTCAAAGAAGTTTATTTGAAAGCGCATATAAACATCTGCAATATGCTCATTAAATGTGAGGAAAATGATCCTTTTTTAGCGACTGATAACTGGTGATGAGAAGTGGATTGTTTACAACAATGTGGTGCGCAAACGGCCTTGGTCCCAACGTGATGATTCACCTCAAACGACATTGAAAACAGACATTCATCAGAGGAAGGTTATGCTGTCAGTGTGGTGGGATTTTAAAGGTGTCATGTTTTCCGAGCTCCTACGAAGGAATCAAACAATCAATTCGAATGTGTACTGTCAGCAATTGGGCAATTTGAATGAATCCATCATCCAGAAATGTCCAGAGCTTGTTAATTGTAAAGGAGTTGTGTTCCATTGCGACAACGCGAGACCACACACAAGTTTGATCACCCATCAAAAATGATTGGAGCTTGGATGGGATGTGTTGCCACACCCACCATACTCGCCTGACCTTGCGCCGTCAGACTTGCACTTGTTTCACTCTTTTCAAAACTCCTTGTGTGGTATAACGTTCAATTCAGATGAGACTGTAAATCAGCACCTTGTTGAGTTTTTTGCAAATAAAGACAGGTCTATCTATGAATGAGGAATTATGAAGCTCACTGAAAGATGGCAAAAGGTTATCGAACAAAACGGGCAATATATCATTGATCTTTGTTCTTTATATAAATAAATGACCTTTGAAAAACATAGACAAAATACGTCATGGGTTTTCCCACAACCCAGTAGTGTCAGGGATGTAAAGTACACTATGGGGAATATAGTCAATAGTACTGTAATAACTATGTATGGTGCCAGGTGGGAACTGGGCATATCGGGGGAATCACTTTGTAAGGTATGTAAATGTCTAACCACTATGCTGTACACTGAAACTAATATAATATAGAACATCAACTGTAATGTTTTTTGTAAAAGTATGCGACCTTATTCTTTGTGGGAATCAGGATCTCTGTAGATGTAATTAAAGTAAGGATTTTGAGATATGATCATCCTGGATTAGGTGAGGCCTAAATGCAGTGATGAATGTTTTATAAGAGACAGACTCCTATCCTACAGAACTGTGAGATAATAACTTTCTTATGCTTTACGAAGTTTCTGGTAATTTGTTAAGTTAGCCTTGGGAAACTAATATACTACCGAAGTCCAACCATACCAGAGTGCCAAGTTCCTGTCATAGGCTCTAAGGAAAAAAGGACAGAATTCTGGCACTGGCCCAGGGGACTAGTATAACAGGTTAAACCATGACTAAACATCAACTAATTGCCAAGCACTATTGGGTATTTCTTGGCATGTTATTTAACTTAATCTTCCCCAGATGCTTTGAGGTAGTTAACTTTTATTTAGCATCATTTAACAAAAGAAGACCCCAAAATACACAACAGTCATTTAGTCAGAATATTTATTGTCTACTTTATACCAGGCTTTTGCTAGATATTAGAATGGTCAGTAACTCACCAAAAGAGGTACAGCTAGTATGTGTCAGAGTTCTCACTCAAACCATGATCCTGTTATTCCAAATTTGGCGCCTTTCTCTACCACATCCTACTTTATCAGATGCTTGGAGCAGGAAAGCACCAGGAATTTGGCAAATGCTGATTAGTTTATTTTGGCTGATAGAGAATATTTAACAAAGTAGGAGAGGAACTTATTATCCCCAACACAGATCTTCCTGATTTATGGTACCGTTTAATAGTATTTATTTTTATTAATACCGATAAAGTAGTTTATACTTTGTTCCCTTAATCTTATTTCCTCTTGTAGTAACCCTTTCACTTTATACTCAAACATGCAGATAATTTAAGCTGCTCTTTAATAATAGCTCTACATTTTCTTTGGAGATGTAGATCTATGATATAGATAACAACATTTATTTTCTATATATTATTTTAAAACCTGATATACATATACTATATATGTATACATATATAAATATAGCAGTCCTGGAAAGAATATTCGAATATTACCTTGTGGTTGAAGATAACAAAAAAAATACAAAAACAGTCTTTAGCATCATAATAATATGAATTCTTTGAGTGTTTTATACATACTTCCCTTGAATGATTATTAAGGCATTCAAGCTTTTTAATAATGCTCTGAGAATTATTAAATTCAACATTCATCTTGTTATAGTTAATGCTTTTGAACATACAACGTGAATGTCACTCTGGTAGCTGCTAAATGTTCAGTAAATTAAAAAAATATTGTTCCTACCCTTGCAGTTTAGATGCTTGATTTAAAATCAGTAAAAATTAAGACCAGTGAAACTGTGAATGAATTAGAGAAAATGGGCCAAGAAAATCTCACTTTAGCAAGTTGAAAAGACAAGAAATAAAAGAAGCTAACAAACATATTGAGGTGAAAGTTGCACTGAGGATCTGTCTTGGAAGCAGAGGGTAAATTGCATGAATTTGTCGAATGCCTAAATCACCAATAACAGGACAAAATGGACAGTAACACTGACACCATTTTTTCCTCATGCTCGCATTTGTCTTGATTCTGTCTTTCTTCCAGCATTTATTCATTAATTTATTCCAGAGACACTCCATGTATACCTACAGCATGCAAAGTATGGCATAGACACAAAGTGTATTATTACACTTTGTTTTATTACAAAGTGTTTTATTACACAGTGAGAAGAGAAGTCTTGCATACAGATAACTAAAATGTGAGACAATAAACCTGATCTAAATGACATAGATCTTAACTCTTATCACAGGAAGGTTCATGGCAGAATGTGAATTCTTCTGTATCTACGAATTGATTACAAATTCT